CTGTTCGCTACGGCAGTTCGGGCCGTTCTCCCTTGAAGTACCCAGTCTACCCCCTACTTCTCACACTGTTACACGTTGTCACTTCTAACATTTTTTTCTGTACACTAAATAACCGTCACAATAGATACATACCAGTTTTCGTTGTGACTTTGCTAAAACGATTTTTAAAAAGTATCGAAAATCTTAGAAATTGGAAATGACAAATTACTTCATTCAATGTGACTCAAAGGACAAGTAAAAAGAGGCGTCATTAATTCCGGAGTTGATTTCGGAATTTCGGGAAGTTTTGTAGGGTTTTGTTAACTTCTCATGACTGTATTATCTATTTTCACTTCACATTGAAAAGTAAATTCAAAAATAAAATTTCCCTTGGGGAGGAAATGATTCTCTACTATTTATGCAAGTTTGTTTAGCGACTTTTTGGCTTGATATGATGATAATTCATTTATTTTCTTTAATTTTCTGTATCTTCGTTTTATTAATACTTACAGGCACTGAGTTATAGTTATTTAATTTCTTGGAATATTTAAGCATCTGGATTTCACAAGAGGCTTCTTCTGTGATCATTTCTGGATTGTTTATTTGGCATAATGATTTCATTACAGCTTGTGTCGAAAAGTACATATATTTATTCATTCAAAATAAGATATTTGGATTTAGGAATAATTGTTTTGAAGGAATTATTCTTTGGAGTTGGTAAGGTATATCAATGATGATAATTATAATTTTCCATTTCGACTATCGGTATTTCGATAATATAGATAATTTTATTATATTTTGAATATGCTTTGATATCAATTATCTTCTCAAATGGTAAACTGTTTTCTATTTTAGTTTCAAATGGTAGTTTACTTGTGGTTAAATTTTTGGGAATATTTTCGACTTCTTTTAATATCTCATTTGGTTGTCATGGAATTATGGAAAATATTCATTTTCGAAACAGTTATAGCAATTTCTATTTTCTTTAAGATATCGTAAATTGCTTGAAATGCAGTGGATATTTGTGAAATCGTTATTTGTATTATTGAAAATTGATTTATTTCAAGATTTTTGACTTCTTGAACTTGTATAAGTTTTTCAATGATTTCTAATCGGGGGTTCAAGAGTTCTTGATTATGCACAAGAATTTGTGTATTGTTTTTGAAATTATCAATTGATCTTTGTAACAGTGTTATTTGATCTAATATGGGAGTTTCCATTTTATTTTGATTTGGTGAAAGTATTTCAATTGCTCTGTCATATTTTTCTGCATCATTTTGTTTGGTTACCCAGTTATCGAACTGATAATTGATCCTGATCCATCAATAAGTCCTCGTTTCTGTTTTCTTCTAATCGAAGAATTGAGTTCATTAAGTTAATGAAATGTTGGTGCGTTCATTTCTGCGTTACTTTGGATGAAGAGTCTGAAATAAGAAGTTTCTTTCTAAGCTCTTCAATATGAACAATTTCTTTTCTATCTGGCCTTTGTTTACTTGCAATTTCTACTCTATTTCTACCTAATAATATTGATATAGTATAAGGTCTTATAAATGTATTGAGTTTTTTATTCCTTTCTTGTGGATTTTGTTTAAATACGGTAAGTCCTACTTGATAATCATTATTTGTATCTCTGTGTATATTTGTTTTTTCAATAATTTTTGCTTTCTTGGTTTCAATTAATTTTTTGGTATTGTCATAAACGTGTTCTAATTTTCTTTTATGATTTTCAACATAGTCTGTGAAAAATGAGGGTGGTGTAAATAATTCATATGGATCCAAAAACTAGTTTGAAAGTTTGAAAGTCGTTGCACTATGTATGGATTCATTATATCCTATAATTGCATAGTCCATAAGGTCTTTTGCTTCGGGGTACAGTTCTTGAAGTATTCCTAAATGTTCAATTATTGTTGAGTGGAATCTCAGCTATTCTATTAGATTCATGGAGTGGTAAAATGAATTTTTATTCTAAGTTTAAGTTTAATATTTTTTTTTACAGTTTCATCATTAAATTCTGTTCCGTTGTTCCGTTGTTATTAGATTTTCTGGTGATACAAAATATGAAAAATATTTAATTAGGGCGTTGCCAATATGTATACCGGTTTTTCTTGATATTGGTATTGCTTGGGCAAATTTCTTAAACGCGTCGACTAAAGTTAGATACATTTGATTATCATATTGAAAAAATATCTATATGAACAAATTGAAAAGGTTTTGAAGGTGTTTTTCATAACATAAGTGGTACGTAAGGATTTTTTCTAGCATATTTTTCTCTTTGACATATTATGTCACATGAGTTTATATAGTCTGTTATTGTTTTTTTCATTTTGATCCAATAATAATTCTTCTTTAATTTCTTTAGGGTTTTGTCTATTTTGTAAATAAAAGTTGATCATTTTCATCAGTAACAATTTTTACGTTTTTTGTGCATCTTATTATTTTAGGTCCTTTTTCTGAGGAGTGTTCTGAATATTCTTCAATAAAATTTCTATTAAAGTTTTTCTGAATGAAAATATATGCAATAAGTTTTGTTCTGAATAGAAATTCTAAGAAATTCAGATATAATATTTTCGTTATTTCTCTCTGGAATTGTTACTGCATAAATTCTATAATTTTCATAGTTTTAATGTTTCACTTTCATTATCAGGTGAATATGTGTAAATAATAAAATTTCATCACTTTTATTATTTATTATTTCATCATGGATTTTTATTTCTTCATTTGTCGTTTCATCTACATAACTATGTTGAGTACTGTCTGAATATTCTTCAATTGAAGGTGGTTGTTCTTTAGTTGGTGATTTCATTTGAATGTCTCATAAAATTTTTATTTTTTGTTGAGTTTGGGGTTTACTAGTATTCTGTATAGAAACATGGTTTCTTCGACAATGTCGCCTGGGTTATTGATTATAGATTCATTTTCTACTGAGTTAATTTGAATTCGGGATAATGCGTTTGTGTTTAATTTACCTTTTTTATATATTACTTCATAATCAAATTCTTCTAGTTTCAGTCTTCAGCGTACTAATTTTGAATTGGGTTTTTTCAGTTCAAAAAGCCAAACAAGTGGGAGATGATCTGCGTAAATTGTGATTTTTTTTTCAAAAAGATACGGTCTGAAGTATTTACAGGCCCATACAATTGCTAATAATTGTTTTTCAATTGTACTATATTTCTTGCTACTGCGGACCTTCGGAACCAAGGAATACAACGCTTTGCGATGCTTGGTTGGCCGTTAGCAGCAAAATATTTAATCCTTTCTGAACATACCCTTGCTCAGTGGAGACGGGTGGGGTTCTTTATCGAACAAAAAAAAAGAAAATAAATCAATAAAACTCGAATAGTTATACCAACTATATTATCCAAATTAAACAACCTATCAAGTTCGATAATCCNCGTTTATATTCGTAATGTCCGTTTTCCGTTGAAAAAGCAGTTTTTTGTATGTCATCAGGGTGCATTTCTATTTGGTGAAAACCGTTGGCTAAGTCTAGTGTGGTAAAATAATGACTTTTTCCTAATTTGTCTAGAATAATGTTAATGTTTGGTAAAGGGTATTTGTCATCTATTGTTCGTTCATTAATTTTTCTTCAAGCCCTATCCAAATAGGGCTTGAAAAGGGTGACGTTGATGGTTGAATTATACCTTGTTGTAACATTTTTTCAATTTAATTTTCAACTTCTAGTTTATGAATTTCACTGTATCTATAAGTTTTTGTATAAATTGGTGTTACATCTGTTAAGTTTATTTCATGTCGAATTTCATTCATAAATGTTGAAGAAAATATCTCGGTATTTATAACATAAGTTTTTTATTGCTCATTTTTCTTCTAAATAACAATGTTCAAGGTGTTAATTTTTTAAATTTGCTCTTTGAATCTTATCTTCAAAATTGTCTTANTTTTTCGATTACTAGAGACATTGCTTTTTCTAGTGAATCTGGGTTTCTGAGTCTAACATTATTTTGTAGGTATCCTGGTAGATTTCTTATACATGTTATTAATTTGTAAATTTTTTTTATTGTGCTTTTATTGTGCATAAGGGTAGGCATTTTTGTTTAGATGTGGAAAATTCAAGCGGTTGATTCCATCTAAACGTTATACATTGGTTCGTGATAATAATTGGTGTTACAATTGCCAAATCATGGTCCGTCTGATAAGGTTTGTTCGGAATGTATGTTTATTGCATTTAGGGAGACCTTTGGCCGGGGTACAATATGACCAAGGGGTTCACGGAGCTATACCAAGTGAAGTTAATGCTAGTAGTAACGTCTCGAATACGAATACCTACTACATCGGAAAATTTTTGTGGAACGGCAAAAAAAATCGTAATAAGACAGTATTATATAAACGGTGATAGTAAACGTTCTGAACGGTTGAACGGTCAAGGTCAAGCTTATCGGCTAGATTTGTATTGGATAGTGAAAGTCAGGTTCATCTCATCACTCATCAATGTTCAAAAAATTTGAACATTGTGTGTGATTTTCACTAGACATGTCTAGTGAAAATCACACACAATAAAGTGTTTTTAGAATACGTTAGTTATGGATTTTCATCAAGTATCGGCCGATTCCATCATATATAATAAAACACATGGCTTTATTTCAGTTTTTGAGTTTATTCAAATTTTGTTGGTTTCTCTTCAAGGTTTTCGCGTAACTCCTTCAAATTCAATGCAAGTATTGAATTTGAGAGTATTGTGATTATATAATATCTACGCTAATTTTTGATATAATGTTGACATATAAAAATCAAGGAAATAATTACCCAATCAGCTCATTTAATTGAATAGAAAGGTACAGGATAGCGTAAAACAATAGTTCAGAAAATAGTCAAATATTGGTGTTCCTACAACTTCTAGAGGGAAGAATTTTTTACAGAAAGCTCCAATGACAGTTTTGAGGTTCTAATGAGTAAACTTTTTCCAGTCATTGATGGATGATCGCTGATACATCAAATTTCATTCGAACCTACAAAATATTCAAATGAATGATCCAAAAGTATACTTATTTTTTTTAGGTGTCTCTGTCAGGATGACTGGTTTGGACCATTGTGTTCTTCAAGAAATAATTTGTGCCATAGTGGTTATACAAAATGTTCGAGAGAATCGAGATGTGTTCCACAACTATCAAACTATGAGTGTGATTGCCCTTTGGGAAAAACTGGAAAATATTGTGAAAAAGGTGGATTTCAATTTTAATTTCATTATCAAAATGTTCCGAAATTTGAACCGATGAAACATAGAAAGCATTTTATAATAATCTCTCAAATCGACTAGAGAATCGCTTCCACAGGGAAAATATAACAACAATATCATCTTTCCCTGCAAAAAACTAAAAACCAAAAGTATAAATAATGTGGTAAATAATTTGAATAACCAGAATTTTATTGTTAGCGATATTCGTAAATGACCAATTCAGCAATAACATATTTAGGTATTTCTATTCGTCCTGATATAATAGTTTCTTCTAGCTGGTCGAACAAATGAAACATATAATGATTAATAATGAAAATTGCTTGTTATTTAAAAATGATCATTTGAATAAATTAGTAGTAGAAATGTATTTCCAATAAGGAGCTTTCATTCGCAAGCTCTAGAAAGGAAAAAATTAAAGCAACTCAAACCCATTAATTTATTACATTACACGATCCATATGATGTATTATAAGTTTGTTGTGAGATCTACATATTTTATAAAAATTCATATTTTTTTCTCAGATGTCAAGATCTCGCGACAATTTTTATACCATATGAATTGGCTAATGAAGTAAATAGATGGGATTGATTCAATTTGAAGTTTAATTCTTCAATCTATTCATTCCATTTGAGGCGTTGTTGTTGCAAGGTCGATTCCTATCCCTTAACTCTGTCGAATAATAATGATTTGAAATTGGATGGCGGCCATCTTCTGATGTCATTTGTTGTCAAAATCAGAGGGATGCATGAAACAGTGCAGAATCCTTGTTAGGCCGCCATATTGGAATTAGATTCTCGTCATTTTATTTCTCGAATTCTTTTCAGCAAACTCTTTCATTTGAAACCCATATCATATACGTGCATGAGAAATTCACTTTCTGTGACATATGAAATGCCCACAGTTCGTTAGTTGTGAAAACAAGTATCAGTGTAGAGTAGATGAACAACACCGATACGGGCCCATTTCAAGATCGTGCGTTGCTGGTAAGTATTTTAGAGTGAAACTTCAGTGAGTGGAAGAGAGAAACGTGTGACGTCATCGACGTAGGATGGAATGAGTATCGTAGCGATTCAAGCATGGAATTCGGCCCCCTTGGTATTCCGCCTCACCTATCGGCCCCTCTTGCAACTCCGCATCACCGCTCAGGCCCCCTTGTCACGTGATTCTGATTAAAAAAAATTCATAGTTATGAAATTCGAACCGGGATGGTCCGCGTGGTAGACATTGTCCTTAGCCTCTACACCAACGTAAGATATCGAAAGTAACTGCGAATGATGGGTATTCACAGCGTAAGTTTTGTCGGGACCGAAATTGACTCATTTTATATACTTGACCGCATTTTTTTTATTTCTGTAGAATGTTAGGGAAGTTGTAATCGTCATTATCATGTTGAAGATAGGAAAATATACTTAGATTTGGGAAAGAATTATTATTTCATGAAAAGATGTGTATGTGTGTGTAAGAGCGAGAGACGTAATCGAGGTAAAGAGAGATGGAGATGGTATCGAGGTTTTACCGGTTGCTGGCGCAAGCAGGTGTTGCCGGTTTCAAAATTAAGCGTGAAAGACTCGATGAAAATTGGAAGCGCAAAAATTATATATTTCATAATAATGAATCAGATTTAAGAAAAAATATGACAACTCAACCTGCGATCCCTCATTGCATACGGGGTGTCTCAAAATACATCATCAAAAGAAAAAAAACATGACGTCGAAGTGTAGGGTACGTCAAAATACATCATTTAAGAAAAAATATTACAGATTAATGAGACTGTACCGTTTCAAAGTGCGATACCTCAATGTTACAAGGTATCTCAAAATACATCATTGAAAACAAACATGGCGTCGAAGTGTATAGAATGCGTCAAAACACATACATCATTTGAGAAAAAAAAAACATAACAGGAGAAGGAGGAGGTGGCACAAAAGGTGTCGAAGAATTACTTATTGTGGAGTTAACATCCGAAAATGGGGAAAGCGAAGTATTCGACCGTTTTACAAACGTTTCGACCGTTTTGCGTGCCACCGTTTTGCATGCGACCGTTGTGCGTGCGTTTTCGATTGTTTGCGTCGTTTATCCGTTATCGTTTCATCGTTCTTGTCGTAACCGTTTTTCCTGTTCCGATATGACAGTCATTTATCACGTAACGCGTTTCGCTAACCAAGTAAGCATCATCGGGAGATGACTAAATCTGGACCTCCGATCGGAACCTTGTGGAACACTCAACTTTACTTCTGTTACAGAGTAGTGTGTCAGCCAATCAGAATGGAGAAATCAAATATCACTCGATTGATTGTGCTAGATGAAATTGAACTGGAGACTGAGGATCAAATAATGATAATAATAGTGATGAAACATCAAAACTTTGAAAGTGACGTAGTCAGCGTGGGAGGTGGTGGCGTGGTAGAAAATATGTGTAGATTTGTGGAAATGAATGTGTTATTAGAAAAAAAAATGGTGCAACTGTCAGAAGGGCACTGAGTTGTATATTCGCTAATAATGATCGGATCGTCGCGTACAGCACGTCAAATGAAAAGATCAGAAATGCAGAATTCATCGACAAAGAAAAATCATAGATGACGCATCATATCAGGAAAGAACAAAGCCAAATCTTCGTTAATGATAATTGAATCTCAACATGCATCGCATACAGCACGTCAAAAGAAAGGATAAGAAATGCAGATTCATCGACGAGAGAATACAAAGATGGCGCAACATGTCAGAAGGGCACTGAGCCGTATTTTCGTTAATAATATTTGGATCTTCATGTATAGCACGTCAAATGAAATGGAAACGAATGCAGAATTCATCGACAAAGAAAAAACAAAGATGGCGCAACATGTCAGAAGTGGACTAACCTGCTTCTTCGTTAATAATATTTGGATCGTCATGTATAGCACGTCAAATGAAAGGGAAACGAATGCAGAACTCATTGACAAAGAAAAAACAAATATGGCGCAGTATGTCAGGAATGCACTGACGCGCATCTTCGTTAATAATAGTTACATCGTCACGTGCAGCATATCAAATGAAAGGAGATATGATGAATTTATCAACAAAGAAAAAACAAAGACGCAACCAAAAGAACACTGAACCGTATCTTCGTTAATAATAGTCGGATCGTCGCAGTTGACGTGATTCATTCACTCAAGACTAGAATGGTTAGAAGATACCAACGGAGATGTTACGATGACTATTAGTTCTGGTATGTTTTGTTAGGTATCGAATGATGCGTGTATTTTCATTAATTCCAGCGACATGATTGTTCCAAGACATATTGGTGTCAATTTGAACCTCCAACAAACTTATCGAAGCAGAAGGTGGAACCCCAAAAAAATAGGAGATATAGTACACCAAGTCAGCGAAGAGCGGCATTTTTCTGCAGGGTCCATTTGAACCTCCAACAAATTTATCGAAGCAGAAGGTGGAACCCCAAAAAAAAAGGAGATGTAGTACACCAAGTTAGCGGAGAGCGGCATTTTTCCGCCGAAAAATGTTTGAATTTCTTCAAATTTTTCAAATATCTGTAACAGAAAGACAAAACTCAGCTGCGGAAAACTTTTATCCACTGATGTTAAGTATGTGTCGGTAGTATGTAACGAAGTTTACCATTAAATTCACTCGTTGTGCCTTCTGAAATATGTTTGTTGCGATGCACCTTAGATGGTAATAGTTATTGTTTATCATTTCGAATCCGTTGTTATACAAGGGCTTTGGAAATAGAAAAGAAAAGACAACGTTTCAACGCTTTGTAGACGTGTTTAAATCTCTATGCGTGATTTTTGACCAACACCCATTATCCATATTTTCAATATTATCCCGATTGTATGGCCAGCACATATTCAATATTATCGTGATCGCGCGCGATCACGATAATATTGACCCTCAGTGTCCAGTTCAATTTCATCTAGCACAATCAATCGAGCGATATTTGATTTCTCCATTCTGATTGGCTGACACACTACTCTGTAACAGAAGTAAGGTTGAGTGTTCCACAAGGTTCCGATCGGAGGTCCAAAAAGGTCCAGAATGAAGCTCCATAAGAATAAACATGGACTTTAGTCATCTCCTGATGATGCTTACTTGGTTAGCGAAAGGCGTTAAGTGATTAATGCCTGTCATATCGAAACACGAAAAACGGTTACGACAAGAACGATGAAACGATAACGAATAAACGCACGCAAACGATAGAAAACGCACGCACAACGGTCGAAAATGCACGCAAACGATCGAAAACGCACGGAAAACGGTCGAAGACGCACGCAAAACGGTCGCATGCAAATCGGTGGCACGCAAAACGGTCGAAACGTTTCTGAAACGGTAGAATAATTCGCTTTCCCCATTTTCGAATGTTAACTCCACATTACGTAATTATTCGACACCTTTCGTGCCACCTCCCCCTTCTCGTGATGATGCTAACTTGGTTAATGAAGATACAAGTTTTTGAACATGAACTTAGACATGTTGGAACGCTAGACTTCGGTTAAACCGGCATGTTTTTCCATTAAATGATGTATTTTGAAACGCCCTGTATACACATTGATATCATATTTAAAACCAACATGTTTTTTTTTGAATGATGTATTTCGACGCACCCTGTACACTTCGACGCCATATTTGTTTTCAATGATGGATTTTGAGATACTTTGTAATATTGAGGGATCGCACTTTGAAACGATACAGTCTCATTAATCTGTGATATTTTTTTCTTGAATGATGTATTTTGACGCACTCTGTACACTTCGACGTCATGTTTTTTTTCCTTTAATGATGTATTATTAGATACCCCGTATACAATGAGGGATCGCAGGTTGAGTTGTCATATTTTTTCTTGAATCTGATTCATTATTATAAAATATATCATTTTTGCGCTTCCAGTTTTCATCGAATCTTTCACGCTTAATTTTGAAACCGGCAAAACCTACTTGCGCCAGCAACCGGTAAAACCTCGATACCATCTCTATCTCTCTTTGCCTCGATTACGTCATACGTGTCTCTCGCTCTTAAACACACATACACATCTCTACATGAAATATTGATTCTTTCCCAAATCTAAGTATATTTTCCTATCTTCAACATGATAATGACGATTACAACTTCCCTAACATTCTACGGAAATAAAAAAAAATGCGGTCAAGTATATAAAATGAGTCAATTTCGGTCCCGACAAAACTTACGCTGTAAATACCCACCATTCGCAGTTACTTTCAATATCTTACGTTGGTGTAGAGGCTAAGGACAATGTCTACAACACGGACGATCCCGGTTTGAATCTCATAACTATGAACTTTTTGTTAATGAGAATCACGTGACAAGGGGGCCTGAACGGTGATGCGGAGTCACAAGAGGGGCTGATAGGTGAGGCGGAGTACCAAGGGGGCCGAGTTCCATGCTTGAATCGCTATGATACTCGTTCCATCCTGCGTCGATGACGTCACACGTTTCTCTCTTCCACTCACTAAAGTTTCTCTCTGAAATACCAACGACGCATGACCTTGAAGTGGGCTCGTATCGGTGTTGTCATCTACTGTGTAGTATTAAAGAATTTAAATTGCAGAAAATTTCAGATTGACAACTTGAAAACAATATAAACTGTCGAACGATAGTAATACGTCATTAATTAATGAAAACTCTGAGAAATTGCCAACGATTCACGATTGTAAATGTATTGAATCCAAACAAGAGCTGTGTCTCTCTGACTCTCTGATTGAATGTAAGCGTTAACAAAGAAGTATGTGTTATATCACATATTTTTAATTCTCCTGTCGGCCCAATTGTAAACGTGTATGAAAAATGCCATCGATCAGTTGAGAATAACCGCCTCAAAATTTAATTGAAAGATTTGTCTCCAACAAACAATGCAAGTTAAATGAAAGTTTGTAATAGTGGAAAAAATGCTTTTACGAGTAAATATTTTTTCTTAAACTATAATCAATTCTGGTATATAAAGATGACCAAGGAAAAATTTTCTTATTTTTGGATATAATTTACCTTTATGAAATCTATCTATGAAATCAAAATAACAAATGGTCTCGTTCCGTTTTAATTCCGATTTCAATACAACATAATGCGATATTTGCAAACCATTGTGATGTCATTAGATCAATCTTAGTCAACCTTAAAATCCCAAAACTAATAATTTTTGTCAATTTTTCAGACGAAATTGTTACGGATGTTAGCTTCACTGGCAAGAGATCTTTTATTGCTTTGAAACCTGTGGAGCTCGAAGAATACAAGTTTCATTTTGAATTCGAAATTCGTTTGCTGAAAGATCAAGGAATCATTCTTTTTATGGGACGAAGAGAATCAACCTTTATATGCCTGTCACTATTGAATGGTTTGATAGAATTGAAAATAAAATCGGGTAATTGCATTTATGAGTTGCAGAAACTTCATTTGAATTCATATCAGAACGTTTATTTCAAGGTGCCAGCAAGATACCATCTTCAAGTATCACTTCAGTGAGAAGTTCCAAACTTTTGGTAAGAGCAGTCTGGTACACCGTGAAATTTGGGATGTTCGGAAGAAAAATTTACCTTTCGGTGAATAATTTAATAAATACAGGAATATTAGATGATGGTCATTTCCTAGGGATATCAAGAGGAACAATTTTTTTGGGAGGCCTCCCAGATATGTCAGAAATACCCATTTGCGTAGCGTCCAGTTTTCCAGATCATTTCCAAGGGTGTATCAGAAATTTATTCGTTAACGATATATCATTACCATTGACTAATTTGACCATAAAAGAATCGAGAAACGTTGAAGATTGTGATGGAACTCCCTGTGGAGAAGAAATTTGTCAAAATGGAGGAACATGTTGGTTAGATTCTTTCATGCAACCCCATTGTTCCTGCATTCCTCCTTATTTTGGCAACGAGTGTAAGAACGTTTCAGTATGTGATGAAAAGAGTTGTAGAAACGAAGGAAAATGCCTCAATAATAAATGCACCTGTGTTGTTGGATACTCTGGTGCTCTTTGTGAAAATAAGATTGCAGTTGCAACACCAAAATTCAATGGTCAGAGTTATATGTTCGTTAAAAGAGTTGGCGATAGAAAAAGAGACCTGAAAACTGGAAATGTCGAAAGTATCACTTTGAATTTCACCACTGTCAAACGTAATGGATTACTCTTATGGACTGAAGAGGTAATTTATATTCTCAATGTTGATTGAACAAATTTGACTTCAGTGCTTTGTAGAAAGAAAAATACCTAGGCATTGGGCTGGAAAAAGGTTTTATCAAGATTGCAATCTCTTCAACAGAGTTTCGGAAAAGTTTGTTCGAAGTACCAATGTATACCCGTGTATCCGATGGTTTGTGGCATGCAATCAATATTTCATTGAATCCTCTGAAATTAACCGTTGACGGAGTTGATGTAGTGATTCATAGAAAACTTGAAAAAGGTGAAAAGTTAAGTGGTGACTTTCTCATTGGCGGAGTACCTGAAAATGAAAGTGTAGTTGTGAAAACGAAAGGTTTTTTTTCACACCCCTTTGAAGGTTGTATCAGTTCGTTTGGAACCAATTCATTTTCAATTACAGATTTCAGTATTCAAGACGGTTCCAATATTGGTTCCTGTGAGTATATACAGAATTAGATATGATACCACCAAAGATGTTCAATGTCAAAATTTTCAGTTTCGTTGTGATTCACACTGAAAATTCCCATACAACGTTTACCGAAAATTTTTCTAGTCACTTATATTGTTATGTTATATACTTTTAGAATTACTGTATGTTAGTTTGATGTGCAAAACTACCTTTTTGGAAGATTTGAATAAAAACAAGAATTTGTCATTGTTTTCTTCACAGCAGACGTGTATTATTTTATGCATGATTAAATGGAGTTTCTGGCCCGTGACTCTAAAATAGCTAATATAGTGTTACATTTGAAGAAAAGTTCAGATATCTGAGTTCGAAGACTATAAACTATTTCGGTGTTCCAGTGTGTTATAACGAGATTTTGATTCTTTCCTCAACTGGTAGGAATGAAAGTTTCTTGGTTTTTTGGGTTTTGTAGTTGAAGGTCTTCTCGAATGCTGAATATGGAACACTATTTTTTGTTATTCAAGCAAATGGGGCAAAACCGCTATCATGTGTTTCCTACCGTAAAAATCTCAGAAATGCTCATGAAATTAATTCGAACCTATACTAATTTCAAGCGGCGATTCAGTAAAAGTAATAATAATCAATTAGTGAATAATATCAAAAACGTAATTATTCCTAATAACGCTAAATTAATATCGTTTGATGTTAAAAAATGTATTTTCCAGTTTTCCGCCAATTGAAACAATTGAGCTGATTGAGCGTCTGTTAGACAAAAACGATGTAAATCCACTATTAAAACAGAAAATTTTAGATTTACCTACTATTTCTCTATCTCAAAATCATTTTCAATTCGTAGAAATTTTGTTCATGCAGTGAAAGATAATAATGGATAACCCGTTGAGTTCTTTGCTGGCTGAAATCTTCATAGATAATGTAGAGAATAAAATCCATAATAATCAGTTAACTAATATTTTCTTGTACTGGTAAAGATACATAGATAACATCTCAGTCTGTTTTACTGGTACAGCTTGACACTTAGGTAAGTTTGTCAAATATGTCCATTTTATTCACTCATCAACAAAATTCATCACTGAAGAGGAGGTAGATAATTCAATAAATCGACTTGACTATTACGAGGATTATTAATAAACATGATTTAGCAATTTTCCACAAACCATTTTATACAGACATTATCATACATAATTTTGCCACACACCCTTACCAGCATGAAGTAGCTGCATGAAGTATGCTCCACGTACTATTGCGCATTTCCAGAGTAAGCCGAGTTTCATTAAATAAATCGCTGATAACAACGGCTACAAGGTAGATATTATCGATTCTATTATTTCCAAAAAACTATAAAAATAAGCCATGAACCAGGTCTACCCAAATTCAAGAAACGTTAACGTCCGCTATGAGACATTGTCATATTTTGGTGGGTTTACCCACCAATAATATCACTCGTTTTTTTGAAAAAGAATGTTTAGACGTGACTTACAGACGAATAATATTTTAGGTAAAATTCTTGAAAACAGTAATGACAAAACTCAAGTGTCGGATAGATCAGGAGTATATAAATTGACTTGTGGCTCCTGTCCAAAACTTTGAATTGGCCCAACAGAAAGAACTTTTTTCCAAAGAAAAAAAGAGCATATAAGTAGTTTCTTGAATGGAGTACAATCATGAATATGACGTGTTACATTCAGAAGAGAAACGTTTGAAACTCAATATTTTAGAATGGTTAGAAATGAATAGATTTGAAAATCCGGGTAATTTACTAAATGACCGAATATAATCAAATAACTCACGTTACTGAAATCTGTTAAGGATTTATTCATCATCGTAAATTCAAGTTGAAGCGATGCACAGCTACTCATTCTGTGTTAGGACTAGAATTCTCCTAGCATCTTTGTCCAACATAACGATTCATCCACAATCAAAGATTCAAATCAAACGACTAATATCCACTAAATCTTTCTCGAAACGCTGCAAAGCAAGCTACTAGGATTGTGTGGATACTAGAATTATCCAAGCATTTCTGGCCACCATAAAAAATGTGTGTGCTCAGAATCATAGATTCAAATTGAAAGTCTGTTATTCACCAAATTTCGTCTGAAACCTAGCACAATACCAGGCTTGGGGTAAGACTAGAATTATCCAAGTATTTTTGTCCAACAACAAACTGTTCATCTTCAAGTAAATAGGATGCTACCATTTTTAGAATCTCTCCTAACACCGTGAACAACCACTAGTCTTATGTTGAGACTAGAATTATCGAAGCAGTTTTGTCGAACATAAAAGTGTGTCTGTGTGTACAGGGTTCATCTACAACAATATATTCTAGTTGAAAGACTATTATTCATCGATTCTGAAATCCCAATATCCGCAAATTTCTAACACTAAATCCAACTCAGGCTTACCCTGACCAAATTGAGATACCTCACTCAATGAAACAAATTCTAAATTAATTAAATCAAAATATCTAGAAAAAACTGAAATAATGAAATAAAAAAATAGTATTCCAATCAAATAGAATAAAATCGCTCTGAAAAACGACTCTCTCTTCTTGGTCTCTTCCTGCTTCTAGATCTAGAACTTCGCTTTTTAGGGACATGTGGATCACATCTCTATCAGGAGATCTACGTCTGCTACCTCTAGAATTCTGAGCAAACTTTCTCTGGATTTGTGACGGCTTCTTACCCTCGATTTGAAGCGAGATCTGCGAGATTTGGAGCGTTGGAAACAAGACCTTCCAATTATATTCTAACCAGTCCCTTGTTCGAAGTTCAAGATGTCAGCTGTTAGCGACGCTTGACTACCCCTAGTTGTGTTCATGACTGATTGTTGAGCTTGTTGACTTTTACCGTACGCATGAAACGCTTAAGAGTGTGAGAATTGCATCGAATGAAGTTACATTCATTTCGTGATTTTCTTATTAATACATTTTTTCTATTAGTAAAAGATCTGGTCAAAATTCATCTTGATTATTATGAATTTTTACTATTTAGCTTCCTACTATTTTAGCTCGAATCAAACCCTTTGAAATTTCTACTTTACTTTCGCTGAAAGTGAAACTCAAATTTCTGCATAGTCTCATTTCATTATGAAAATATGAAGCAAAGTTTTCCCTGATCTTTGATTTTTTTCCTCATTTGTTCCTATCTGTCAGCGGTACTCAATGTATCTACGAGTGTTAATCTAAACTTGGTTAAAAAAAAGGCCATTGAGTATGGGATTGAGCATGGGTGTGATTTGGCTAGTTCGACAATTGCGGAATTAGCCAAACGCCACACCCATGCCCAATCCCTAAAGATATGGAATGGAATCAAAGGATGGAATCTTGCCAGGACCAACCTGGGTGACCCTGGGAAGCTGGCGAAGACCAGGAAACCAGGAAAAATCTACACTGTCAACTGAGGAAACACCTCCATAATATGGGGCTAGTGGACATACCTTCTATGCAGGATGTGTGAACAGGAAGATGAAACTGACAGGCATGTCCTATGCGAGTGTCCGGGTTTATCGTCAATAAGACAGTGTTTATTCGGCGAGTCTTGGCCTACACCTGCCGATATAAATAAGATGTATCCGACCTACCTGTAAAGGGACAGGATGGACGATGGCCTAGGAGGACAACTCCTCGGGAGGATGTACAATGGGTCACATGTGGCCTAAGTACTATGGGACTACACTCACCCTCCCTACTTTACAGATACAGAAGGCCATGTAGATATTCTCAAATTTAAATTTTAAAACCAATTTGCTGCCGGACCTCTCAGATGTAACTGTGCTACTGTGAGTTTGGTTTGTTCATGTCAACCCTGTTAAATGGCACTAGTTGAAACTGAGTTCAACCAATCTAATGCCCTATACTCTCTATCACCATGAAAAGTCCACAATGTTTGCGGTATATTTGGAACTACCCATTGCACTGTCATTGTATTCAGAATTTACAATAATGTTCCTTATAATAATGACAAATATATGGTGAAATATGAATAATATAATAATAACTAACGAATTTCAAAAAACACTCTATTATGAGATTTTCACTAAACAGTTTTACAAAAAGGCAACACGTGTTTCGCCATACGATGGCTTCTTCGGGCATGTCTTCAGAGTAAAGACGTGTTGCGTTTTTGTAAAACTGTTTAGTGAAAATCAATAAATTGTTTTTTGAATATGTAAATTGACGTAACTGAGCGTATACCAAATGTTTGTTTGAAGGTGATTGATGAAATGAAATTCACCTCATAGCGAATATTGTGGTTGTCTTAATTACCATTATTGAGACCTATTCCTTTAATCATCCTTTAAAACTATTGAACAACCTGACAATACCCGTTAAATTTCTCTCCTGAATTTGACACTTGTCAAATTTTCTACATCATCTATCCCACCAACCGATTTCCTAGAGTCTTTGAAGTTAGGGCCGTAGCGAAAAGAAAAACCGGGGGGAAAGGGAATCCAAATTTTTCCAACTCCACCAGCAAAATTTTCCAACTCTCGAAGAAATGAAAGCCGAGGAATTTGTTACTACTATAATATATTAATTTTCTTACTTAGTTATCCAAAGCTTAACTTATGCCCGTTAGGGTATGCACAAACAAAAATAAATTTTGGTGATTATAAAAATAATAATGGGAATTATTCTACTTTGGACCAAGGTCCCTGATCTTCCACCATATCCACCATGTATAGGAATATTCAATACAAATGGAAGGAAATAATATTGCGCTTATTGTTTTCTATTATTATTTTTTCTATCTTCACGGCCCGAAATTTCCCAACTTTTCCAAGTCGGAAAAACAGCGAAAAGTTGGGAATTTTGTAAAATTGTCACTTCAAAATTTGTGGACTGTAAAGTCGAAAAAGCAGGGGGTGAGGCTTTCCGCATCCCCCCCATGGCGACGGCCCTGTTAGAAGTCCATTAGATATTCGTTACAACAACAAGAGGATTATTTCGAACTCTTAGGGTTCTTGTTGAATACTCTTCGTGAGCACGAACATAGCAGAATCAATACTCCTGACCGCTCTGGATTGAATAATCCTGTAAAATCTATCTCGTCTTGTTTTTGTAGATCTTTTGCTGGAAAAATCCTCACTAGTTTACTCTGTAATAATTTGTAGCTCCCGAACTATAAGCTTTAGACCATATGTTTTATACTTTGTTGAAATCTGCTCTCATCATGGAGCATCTGATAATGCGAAACAATATAGGGTGATACATTAGAAAAATGGT